CCCAAAACCCCAAAACCCCAAAACCCCAAAACCCCAAAACCCCAAAACCCCTTATATTCGTATTTCACTTATTTGAAGGTAATATTTATTTTAACTATTGCTTTAATCATTATTTATCTTATTCTATTTATTTACTCTTTGCTTACTTACTTTACTTATATTGTCAACAACCCATTATACTCTATTAATTCTGAATCCATTCAAAGTAAATTTTTATTGACTCCATCCTTTCTTAGTTCTAAAGGATGGATTGAAGAGAAGTGAAGCATTGGCTCTTCCATGCTCTAGGACTGCCTGCCAACATTTCCTGCTGGGACATTTGTTGGTTTAAAAAACTTTGGCTGAAATTAGAATTTACTTGACTGACTAGGGGAGATGACAGAGTTTAACATATCTTATTCCCTTTATTGATGCTAAAAATTAGGGTGTTGTTGATTTCTGTAATCTTCATCCTCATCGAAGTCTTCTTATATTTCATGAGCATTTATTACTTTCCTCTGATTATTTCTTGAAGATGCTTGGTTGTAAACCACTGTTCCTCCAATCGAAGGCTTTTTACCTTTTGAAAGGCGTTTATTGAGTTATCTTGAATCTGCTTGAGGCGATGTTGTAGCTGTTAGATGTTTCTTATTCAAATTTCCATTTCTAGTCGAGCCTTATGATTAGAGACCAACTTTATCTTAAATCATTTGCATTTAACTTTAATTTTTCTTATGTGTTGCTACTGCCCCAGATCCTATTCCAATTGATGTGGTTGCCTTGCTAATGCTAACTTTTTGAGAATTTAATGGGTACAAAGGTGGTTATTTAAGGGCTTAATGATTAATACCACCAAATTTAGTTCTCTAAGAAGTAGGTGAAAAGACTTCTGTCTTTGAAGTGTGTCTCTTATTTATAGCTTTCACATGACCTAGATCCATTTATTAGCCTCCATCTTCATCATAATCTAATACTCTTAGCTGTTCATATTGTTATTCATCGCCATATCTTAGTACTCCATCATCATTATCATAATTATTGTTATCATAAGAATCTTCATCAAGACCCATATTATCTAATCTGTCCATGATTTAATTTGGAGGAATTTTATTTGTTTTCTTTATAGAATCTGTTTTGCTAATTTTAGAATTAAACCTACCTTGAGCTTGCTGGCGACTCATCTCTGAAGTTTTACTGGAGTTAAAACCAAGGGATAAATCTTTACTAGATGGAGTCTTATAATTCTGGCTTTCCTACTTTTTATGGGTGTTTGGCTACCTTGCTGTTAGATAAGCCTTTTAATCTGAATATGATTTTCTAGCTTCATCTTATTTAAGTGCTCTAAGCTTTTCAGGTCTTTTTGTTTATGTTTTGAAAGAATTTTTTAATTTTCCTTTATCAGATGGCGTATCCTTACTGTCATCAGATGGATTGAATAAATTTTACTAAGATGGATTACTATCTAGCAATTAATGGCTTTACTCCTCAATATTCATCTAATTCTAGTTAGAAGTTTATGACTTTCTTTGGGCTTGAGTTTAAATCATGTCATGAGTGTTAATGTGAGTACTCCCCTCTGCAAGAGAATTCTTGGCTAATTAAGGCGAGATTTGCTTTTAAATTTTTTTCTGCCTCCCGCTTGTCTCTTGGTTTGTTATGTTTATCTGTTGTTATTAATTTCCGCTCATCAGATATTTGGCTTATTGAAGATAATTATTTAGCTTTTTCTCTGTGAGAGATGCCTGGTACTATTGCTGATTTTAAAAACTATCAGTATTCGAATCATATTGATTCAGCTTAGAATTTGGAATCATCTCATTGCTTTGAGCTTCAAAATCTTTAGAAATAGAATTATTCTAGTTATCAATCATACCTCCAATATTTCCTCCCATTTCACCGAACTCGTTTTGCTTGTAATGCTATGTTTTTGAGGGAGAGGCTGTTGTAATTTTGGATTCCACTTCTCCATCTTCCATCTCATAATAGTACTAATTATCTTATATATCCATAAATGGGCTTACCTTTTGCTATTTGTTAGGTGATTAAGATTAAAGTAGATGCATTTAAAGAAGATTGCTGCTTTAGAAATCTTCTGCCTAGAAATCAATATCTTATCCATGAACATTGCTATCAGGATGAAGGTATGGTTTATTTGGATTATTTATTGGAGCTGCTGGCTAGCCTGATAGATCCACCTAATCCTTGAGAGAGTTGTCATTAAGACAGGAAAAAAGCTTTTTAAACATATATAATTTAAAGAATACAAATATAATAATTTACAATTAATTTGCTGCTTATTGATTCTAATGTAAGTTAAATCTCATAAATATTTTATTTTATACTTAGAAATAAATATGTCACTAAAGTCAGGACCAGGATCGAAAGCTGGATTATCAGCAGGTCGTTTAGGATCAGGAACTCTTCTTAGGGATACAGCTGCCCAGAATCTTACCTCTAAAAATGGTGGATTTGGTAACCAGACTGTCAAGACTAATGCCTCGGCTGCTAGTAACAATAAAAATACAGCTGTTATTACTTACGACGAACTTGAACGCATAAGATAACAATGTTCAATCGGTTCTGTTTCTTAATACGAGCAAGAATTAAGAAACAAAGATAGACTAGAACTCCAGGATAAATCGAAGGCAAGAGTTCAAAACTGGCCTAATACAATAGAAGCTCTAAGAAAAAAGAAGGATGAAGAACGTATAAGAAGATTAGAGGAGGAAGAAATTGAAAGAAGAAAAGTTGATGCACTGGAATATGAATTGCAGGTACAAGCCAGACTCTAGGCAATCGAAAGAGCTAATAAGCATATGCATGATGCACAAGATCAGGTGAAAGCTTTCCACAGCAAGATGATGATGTGCGATACAATGCAAGAGAGGGAAATGTAACTGGCACTCAGAAAGAAGAAGCAGGAAATTGATAGACAAGTCTAAAAGCAGTGGGAGGAGCTCGAAAGAATGAAGATGGATGAGTACGACGATAAAATGAGGTAGAAGCTTCTAGATGAGTACGAAAAGAAAATGGCCAATCAAAAGGTTATTAATGACTAACTTCATGCCTTTAAAATGAAATGCATCAAAAGAATGCAAGATGAAATCCTTGAAGGAGAGTTAATTAGAAGATAGGTCGAGGAGGAACTCGAAAGAGAGAGGCAAAGAGAGCATGAGAGAAGACTCAGATAAATTGATTAAGCTGAAAACTTTAAGAAGACTAATATTGAAATGATCGCTGCTCAGGCTGAGGAAAAAAAGAGAGAGCTCGAAGAAGAAAAAAGAATTGAAGAATATGCCAAAAAGAGAGAAGCTTTAGACCAGCTTAGAAAGGACAAAGAGGAGTCTAAATTCGCTGAAAAACAGCAAACTAGATAAAAGATGATTGATAAACAAGCTGAGACTCTAAGAAGCATAAAGAACAGAGAGGATGAAATTCTAAGTAAGTAGGTTGCTGAAGCTGAAGAGAAGGCCATGAGACTCTATGAAGAGCAAGAGAGAAGAAAACTTTAAATGAAAGATGCAATTGAAAGAAGTAGAAAACAATAAATTGACAAAAGATAAAATGAGAAGTTCCAAGAGAATATGGAACAAAAAGAGTTCAGTGAGTTCTGGAAAATAAGAAATGAAGAACTTGCCATCGCAGAGCAATAAGAAAAGGAAGAGGAGAGAATCAGAGCTGAGGAGCTTAAATCGTTCCACAGAAGATAAATGGATTTGAAACAAAGGAAAGTTGAAGAGCAATTCAAGTAGGAGCTTGAAGAGACTACTAGAGCTCAAGCTCTTCTAGACTAGCAAGAGAAACAATTCTATTCATATGCCGAATAATGTGTAAAGGAATGGCAGAATAATGGTAAAAATGTAAAACCCCTTATCCTAGAACTTAAAAACTATAAAAAGCAAATCATCTGATGAGCATGATTCACTGGCGAAAATTGATACTCACACTGAATATTATATTTAAGTAAATTTTAAGAATATATCATTTTCAAAATACTCCTCTGTATACCTTATCTATATCTATTGGGGTTTTGGGGTTTTGGGGTTTTGGGGTTTTGGTCTTTTGGATGCAGCAATT